GGGGGGTAGGGAGGGTCACGGAGTGTGGGGCGGGCCTGCGGTGGCAGAGGCCAGCATGACATTGCTAGCCTGAGGCGCGCCCTGCGTTCTCCCGGGGGAGTTGTCCCTGGATCCCGGGACCCTGGCAGTGGCGGGCTGCACAGGCTCCCCGGAAGGGGGTGTGGATAGTGACCTGTGTTCGCACACAGGCTTCTTGGTGGCGGCAGCAGCGGCCTTAGCGTCTCATGTCTGTCTCTGGGCTCCGCACTTTTAGCCGTGGCTCGCGCCCGTCTCTGGAGCTCTCTTAAGCAGCGTTCTTAATCCCCTCTCCTCGTGCACCAGGAAACAAAGAGGGAAGAAAAAGTCTCTTGCCTCTTCGGCAGGTCCAGACTTTTCCCCAGACTCCCTCCCGGCTAGCCGCGGTGCACTAACGCCCTGCAGGCTGCGTTCACGCCGCCAACCTCAGTCCTCTCCCGGCGCTCCGACAGAAGCCGGAGCCTCAGCTCCCAGCCCCGCCCGCCCCAGCGGGGCGAGCAGACAAGCCTCTCGGCTGGTGAGTGCCGGTCAGCCCGATCCTCTGCGCTGGAATCTCTCCGCTTTGCCCTCCGCACCCCTGTTGCTGTGCTCTCCTCCGCGGCTCCCAAGCTCCCCCACTCCGCCACCCGAAGTCTCCGCCCGCGAAGGGGCTGCCTAGTGTGTGGACACTTTTCCTCCGTCACAGCTCTCTCCCGCTGGTGCAGGACCCGTCCCTATCCTTTTGTCTCTGTTTAGTTTTTTCTTTTGCCCTAACCAGGTACGTGGGGGGTTCCTTGCCTTTTGGGAGGTCTGAGGTCTTCTGCCAGCGTTCAGTAGGTGCACCGTAGGAGTTGTTCCACGCGTAGATGTATTTCTGGTGTATCTGTGGGGAGGAAGGTGATCTCCGCGTCTTACTCTTCCGCCATCTTCCCGGAAGTCCCCGACAAATACTGTTTGACTCCACTTATATGAGGTACCTAGAATAGCCAAATTCATATAGTCAGAAAGTACACTGGTAGATGCCAGGGGCCAGTGGTTGGGGGCGGATTTCAGAGTTAGTATTTAATGGGGACAGAGTTTCAGTTTAGGAAGGTGAAAAATTCAGGAGATGGATGATGGTGAGAGTTGCATAACAATGTGAATGCACTTAGTGCCACTGAACTGTACAGTTAAATGTGGTTAAAATAGTGTTTTATGTGACTTTTACCACAATAAAGAAACATTTAAAAAATAAATAAATAAGGGGCTTCCCTGGCGGCGCAGTGGTTGAGAGTCCGCCTGCCAATGCAGGGGACACGGGTTCGTGCCTCAGTCCCGGAAGATCCCACATGCCGCGGAGCGGCTGGGCCCGTGAGCCATGGCTGCTGAGCCTGCGCATCCGGAGCCTGTGCTCCGCAACGGGAGAGGCCACAACAGTGAGAGGCCCGTGTACCACAAAAAATAAATAAGATTTTTCAGATGAGAAAAAAAAATGGAGACATGCAGGTGCTGGAGGGTGAAGGATGCATGGAAGGGTTGAAAGACTTGAAATGAGAGTGCCTTCCTCTGTGTGAGTGTTAAGATTCACCCTGTGTCTGGGCTGGGCAGGGTCTGTATTTGAGGAAATTCTCACCTACTTCAGTGCATGCTGAGCTGACGCCATCTGCCCCATGGCTGTGCATGTGCAGGTCAACCACGTTCACACGCGGGACCTTGACTGCTGCCTGACGGTGCCGCTTCTGGCCGAGGCGGGCGATGTCGTGGAGCTGGTCATCAGCCGCAACCCGCTGGCCCAGAGCAGCCGGGCCCCACGAGCACCAGGCCCCAGAGGCCCACGGATGCTTTGAAGTCAGCACATGGTCTGGACACGTTGGAAGATCCTGGCGCCCACACATACAGCCAGGCTGAAGAAGTGGCCACCCACTCGTCCATCTGTCATCTGGCAGGCTCTGACCAGACTCTTCTCCATGTCTGCGGCAACAGGGGGCCGGGCCCAGTTGCAGTGATATTGAGGTCTTTCTCCAGTTGGACCTCCAAGATGCCCAGTGTGGGGCCTGCCCAGTAGGGGTCAAGGCAGGCTGCTCAGCTGGGCGTACAGGGGCTGCCCCAGGTACCTCCAGAACCCCTGGGAAAAGCGTCTAGTGCGGGGACAGCTCAGCTCCACGTAAGGAGTGTTCTCCCAGAAGAGCCATGGAGCCTGAGTGCTGTGAGGGAGGAGTGAGCGCCCTGTCTCAGGAGGTGAGCAAGGCGGGACCTGATCCCACCTGTGCGGTCGCGGGAGGGTGGGGGCTACTTCATCTGGACAGCCTCCCACCAGGAAGGAGGCTGCTCAGCGGAAGAGTCCAGCCACTTCCCTTCTCCAGAGTCTGGTGTTCAGGGCTCACCAGCATCCCCACTTAGGAGACTCTGAACTGGGGTGTCTGGATTCCCAGGAAGCACTGGCCCTTTGAGGGGTTCTTTCATTTCTGAGACTCTGGTCGAAGCCTCTGTAGTTTGAGACCTCAGTTCTGGGCCCATTGGGCGAGCTTGGTGTCAGGCTTTGGGCTGTCAGCCCCTCCTGCTGCTTTAGTAGGACGTGTGGCCACTGGACCATATGAGTACACCCGTCTTAGCCCAGGCCCCTCAGGGTGGGTGGGAGTCATTTCAGGACAAAAGACCCAGGGGGTTCCATTCAGCTGCTATTACAGTGAAGATGGGAAAACCATGGAAATAAGTAGGATATGTAAGATGATAGAGCTCCTAGCCTAATAAATCAGTGAAGGAGGAGAGAGAAGCAGAGCCAGACAGACAGGCAGGGGAGACAGGCCATCCTTTCTCACACCCAGCAGTGACAGTGTCCAAAGTGGTCATTCAAGGAAGTTGATTCTCACTTGAAATCTGGAAGCACCAGTATCCCTTAACATCGCTTTCCTCATTTTCTGCAGTCCAGAAACCCTTCTGGTTTTGAGAAGGGCCCGGGGTCTCCACCTGGTGGTCTGGGCTGTGGCCCCTGAGATGGAGGTGGGCAGAAAGGATTCAGCCAGGTCTTGGGACCTGTTCTGCCCCTGCCCAGCTCTTAACAGTGTCTCAGGAAAACGGGGTGCCCACTCCCACCTTCATCCTCCTCTACCCCTGAATCCCCTGGAGGCCTGAAAAAGGCTCTTCCACTCAAGGGACTCGATAGGGAGTCAAGACATCTCTTCCTTTCACCCTGGGTCCCTTCTCGTTGCTGTCTGAACCCCTCTGGTCTGACCCCCTCTGGACAATTAAGGGGTTGACAGTCTCTGAGTAGGTACTGGCCTGCCTGTCAGGGCAGAACCATGTCTGCCCGCTGGGCTTGGGAAAGCTACGCTCGACAGCAGCCGAGGACGATGCAGCGACCCTGAACAGTTTTCTGCCCTCCTCGGGCTGAGGCCTCTGCGGTTCCCCCAGACGTATGCAACCAGGCCCGGCGGGTGGATCTCCTGGCCACACCGGCCTTCTCATATGCAATATTCCTCTGTCTTCTCATGGGGATTGTTCACCCCCCAGAATTGACACCTCCTGACACCTGTCCCCCAGTGAGCGTCCTGCCTGCCTATGCATTTTGGGTACAGCCCCTGGGACATGCCCCTTCTACCCCCTAAAAGCTGTATTTTTCTCTGGCTGAGATTGGAGCATATTCCTTGTATTTTTCTATATGGGGTTTTCTTAGGGCTCTCGGGAAGCACAACATGCCAAGGGGTGGCACTGTAAAGGCCACTTGGGGTCTCCTTGGGGCCCACGTGTACATTTGCCCTACCGACTTGCAGTGACGTGGGAGTGGGGGGCGGGGGGTGCTGTTGGGATGATCTTTTTAAATAAAATTATTTAAAAGCACTTGGATTAGTGTGTCTTCTTTTTAAAACAAAAAAAACATAGGCTGGTGATACCTATCTAATTACCCATGACAGTTTTCACAAAACTAGGACAAATAATCCTAAAATTTCTATCGAACCACAAAAGACCCAGAATTGCCAAAGTAATTCTGAGGAAAAAGAACAAAGCTGGAGGAGTAATCCTCCCAAACTTTACACAATACTACAAAGTTACAGTAATCAAAGCAGCATGGTATTGGCACAAAATGGACATATGGATCAATGGAACAGAAATAGAAAACCCAGAAAAAAACCCACTCACTTATGGTCAATTAATTTTCGACAGAGGAGGTAAGAATATACGATGGAGAAAGACAGTCTATTCAGCAAGTGGTACTGGGAAAGTCGGACAGCTGCATGTAAATCGATCAATGACATTAGAACACTCCCTTATGCCATGCACAAAAATAAACTCAGATTGGCTTAAATATGAGACACGACACTACGGAACTCCTAGAAGAGAACATAGGCAAAATATTGTCTGACATACAACATAACAATGTTTTCATAGGCCAGTCTCCCAAAGCAATAGAAATAAAAGGAGGAGCAAAGAAATAGGACCTAAACAAAACTTGAAAGCATTTGTGCAGCAAAGGAAAACATACACAAAACGAAAAGACAACCTGAGATGGGGAGAAAATATTTGGAAGTGATCTCATGACAAAGGCTTAATTTCCAAAATACACAAACAGCTTATAAAAAACAACAACAACCAAAAAAACCAATAAAAAATAGGAAGAATAAACATTTCATAAAGAACACGTACAGATGGTCCACAGACACGAGAAAAGATGCTCAACATCACTAGTTATTAGAGAAATGCAAGTCAAAACTACAAGGAACTACCACTTCACTGCAGTCACAATGGCCATCATCAAAGAGTCCACAAATACTAAATGCTGCAGACGGTGTGGAGAAATAAGAATCCTCCTAAACTGTTCGTGGGGATGTACATTGGTAACAGCCACTATAAAGGGCAGTATCGAAATTACTATAAAACTAAAAAGAGAGCTACCCTACGTTCCAGCAGTCCCACGTGGGGGTGTATTTCTGGAGAAATCCATGATTGAAGAAGACACATGTACCCCACTGTTGATTGCAGCACTATTTACAATAGCCCAGACACAAAAACAACCAAAATACCCACATATAGATGAATGGATAAAGAAGATATCGTACCTGTGTACAATGGACTCTTAGCCATAAACAAGAACTAAATAATGCCAAAGGAAGAAACATGGATGGAACAAGGATGATCATAGACTAAGTGAAGTCAGTCAGAGAAAGACAAATAGCATATGATATCACTTATAGCTGGAACCTAAAAAAATGATACAAATGAACTTATTTACACAACAGACTCACAGATTTAGAAAACAAACTTAGGATTCCCAAACAGGAAAGCTCAGGGGCAGAAATAAATAAGGACATTTAGATTAATATATACACAATAATATACAAAAAATAATGAACAAGGACTTACTGTACAGCAAAAGGAAGTCTACTCAACGTTCTGCAAAAACCTATATGGAAAACAAAACAAAAAAGGATATAACTATACATATAAATGAATCAGGTTACTGTACACCTACAACAAACACCACATTGTAAATCAACTGTATACCAATATACCATAAATATTAAATTAAAAAAGAAAAGAAAAGAAATGCCTACTACATTCCCCTCCGGCCAGGGTGATCTAGGCTGGTATCATATACCCTAGCATGAGGAGCCTTCGGACCCAAAGCTGGACTGAAGTGGAGGTGGGAGAGCAGGAGAGGATGTGCCCACAAAGGAGAATCCCAAAGAGCTGTACTTTCTGTCACTTCTCCATGGAACCACAATCACCAGCTGCAGGTGGGCCCTCCGACAGGTAAACGAAGCTGAGTGAAGCCAAACCATGGGGGACCGTCGGGGATGCAGGAGCTTCAAAAAGTGACCGAGCCTCCATGGCTGCTGGTGGTGGGGTTCCCACATCCAGCCTCCTTGCCAGGAGTCACCCCACCTACACACCGCAGCACCCGCAGCAGGGTGGTTTAGCCAGGGTTCGGAATTTTCGGGGGCGTGAAGCTTAACGGAGAAGAGGTAGAGACACACAAGTCCTTGGGTGTTGCCTCTGGCACCTTCCCCTCTAATTCATAGCCCAGTAAGATGACTCTTCCTAAAGCTTTTGGTTGCCAACGAACTAGAGTTGGCCACGAAGAAATGCTGCCACCTTGTGGACGATTCCCGGAACAACAACTTTACAACCTGTGCTTCAGGGCACCTCATATTCACGAAGCCTATGAGGCTTTTAATGACGCGTGTCCTCAAAAATGACCTGGGGTAGGTAACCGAAAAAGGATTCGAAACAAACAGACTTTCACGAACCCAAATTTCAAGAGGGAAACTTTACACACACTTAAAAAAAATACACACCACAACAAGATGCAAAACATCACTCATTATTGGAGAAATAAAAATCCAAAGTGTAACGACGCATCGCCTCCCAGCAGGCAAAATTGCCAGTATCAAAAAGTCTACAATCGATGGGGCTGTGAGTGTGGAGAAGAGGGAACCTTCCCACTCGTTGAGTGGAAATGTACATTGGTAACCGCCACTAGAAAGCACTGTATCCCAGTAGCTAGAAAACTACGGAGAATGAAACCCTATATTTCTCCTGTCCCACTCCTGTGTTACCCGAGAAAATCCATAATTCAACAAGACACATGCATCCCAACGTTCATTGCGCCACTATTTACAATCGCCAAGACATAAAAACAAACAAATAGTCCAGCGAGTAATGAATACATAAAGAAGTGCTACGTGTATACAAGGGACTGCTACTCTGTCAGGAAAAAGAATGAAATAATGCCATTAGAAGAAACATGGGTGGACCTGCGATGCCCAAACACTGAGTGAAGTCAGCCAGATAGAGGAGGACCCATAGTATATAATATCACTTATAGTAGGAATGGAAACATACATACAACTGAACTAGTTTACAAAACAGAAACAGACTCACTGACTATCAAAATAAACCTAGGATTACCAAAAAGTAAGTGGGTAGGAGATAGAAGTTAGGCAGTTCACATGAACGCATACATAGTAAATTTCCTATAAACATAAATATAAAACACGCACTCGACAAGGACTACTGTACAACACCAGGACCTCTACTCAATGTTCTGCAATAACCTATAAAGAAAAAGGAATCCGAAAAACAGTAGCTATGTTACATGTGTAACTGAATCAGCTTGCTGTACACCTACACCAAACCCCACACTGTAAATTACGCTTAATGCAACATACCATAAGAATTAAACTGAAAATGAACGCAAAAGGACAGAAATGGGTACACTTTTCGACTCCTGCCTCGGTGATATGCGCTGGT